CTCCACCTAGCTGGATGAAGAACCCCCTCCCCCCGCCACACACACACACACACACACACACACACACACTCGCGAGAGGCATTTCCGGCCCACCTGTTCAGATCCTCTTCCTGATCACCTCCTCTGAGGCTGTCCAAGTAGCCGCTTGGAAGTCCCACCTGATCTGACTTCTAATCAACACACAGCAGCAAGTCGCTGACGTTTACCAAGAAGGCTATGCACTGTTTTCATGCAGTATCTCACTTGATCCTGGCAGCAGTCCTCTGGGGGCTTATGTTATCCCCATTTCTCCGAGCAAGAAACAGGCACAGAGAGGTGACAGAGACCCTCTTCTTGACCACACTAATCTGAGCCTATCTTCAGCCTGCTGGGTTCAATCGGAGCAAAGATTCCTTTTAAGTCATCCCCCACCTTTGGGGTGCCTGGCTGGCTCAGTCGTTAAACATCTGCCTTCGGCTTGGGTCATGATCCTGGCGTCCTGGGATCGATACCTCTCCCACTCCTGCTTGTGTTCCCCCCCCCTCTGTCAAATAAATAAAATCTTAAAAAAAAAAGTCATCCCCCACCTTTGATATCTGATCAAGTTCCTCCCAGTTGGTGTCCACAGAAAATTGGAGTGTTGTTTGGTGCGGAAAACCCACATATTGGGTATCGGAAGTATTGGGAGTAGAGAAAGTTTTCCTTTACCCTGCATTAAAGAAGGCTTTCCCTGGCTTCACCCGTGGGCCCAGTTTTAAAGAACAACAGTAATAAACCGACTACCCAGGCCAAGAAATAAACTCTCACCCAACCCTGGAAGCTCCTCGCTCTAAATCAGCAAGCCCATTTTTCTGTCTCTTGGCCTGCTGTACTTTTTTCTGCAGTCTTCATGACAACCTGACATTTCACTGGAAGTTTCAAGCAGTGATTTTAATGCCTGTCCACTCTAGAATGTCAGCTCCACAAGGGAGGGGTCTGTGTGGTTCTCCACTGTATTCTCCACGCCTGGAATTATGCCTGGCACCCAGTAGCTGCCTAAAAGGTGGTGGGATGAATGGCCTAGGGAGCCCTCTGGGCCTGAGCTGCTGTCCTGCTTGCTGCAGAAAGGCTGACCATGACCTTCCGGCCTCAGCTTTCTCTCTGCCCCTCAGAGTGCAACAGCAGGAAGTCAAAGTTGCCAGATTCCTCAACAGCCAGCTGGGTGAGGTGAGGCAGCCTCCACTGGACCCGGAGGCTGGACCACAGAGCACGGGGTGAGCCTGGGCCTGGGTGTCCAGCATCCCAGGGGGGACAGGAAGTGCCAGGTAACTATCATGACTAATAATAATGATGCTAATGACCCCAGTAATAAGAATATAATACTAGCTCACGGTGTCCCAGACTGCATGTGCTTAGAATTCGCTGAGCTCTTTCAGTTTCTCTTAAAGTGGGACCAGCACACCCACCTGACAGCTGAAGAAAAAAGAGACCACAGAGACTGCTGGGAAGGCTATTGTCCTGCCCCCCAGGGCCCAAGGCCTCCTTTGCAAACTCCTCAATCAGAGACCAGCAGGGGGGCTCCAGGTCACCCCACCAACCATCGGGGTTTGCCCTGGATTGAGGGAGATTCCCACAAGGGACTTTCGGTGTTACAACTGGGACAGTCCTGAGCAAACTGGGACAATTGGCCACCGGTCCCCAGTGGGTTTTCAGGAGGAAGCTAGAATTGGGGGATTCCCCTGACCCTGCAGGGAGGGACCTCCCAGAGCTCCCACCAGACCAGGCAAAAGCCAAGAGTCGGTGAATTAAAAACAAAACCCCTTTGTGTTCTTTTGAATTGGAGGGTTCATGGAACAGTCAGCCCCTTCCCCAAAACAGCAATGTTCCCAGTTTCCTGGGAATCCTTCCAAGGAAGTGCCATACCCTGTCGGGCACATGTGTGAATACATGCCTCCAGGAAATTCCCACGAGCAGCCTTAAACTGGACTTTCCTTGCTGGTCTTGGGAGGAAACAGGAGTTATACACACGAAGGCTGGAACCAGAAAGTCCGGGTTCACATCCCAGCTCAGCCACTGTGGGATCCTGGGCAGATGCTTAACTTCTCATGCTCAGTCTCTTCCTTTGCAAAATGGGGCTAATTGGAATCTCAAACTCCAAGATGTGTCAGGAACATCAAACAAGTTAATACCTGTAAGATCTTGGAACCAGGTGCAGAGTGAATGCTATTATCTTTTTCATTTAATGCTAGTTTTTGGTGATCTTTCCTTTCCCCTGCATATAGATCTATTTTGCAGAATTGTTTGATTAGGACATATTTCAGGCACTCAACAAGGGGCTGGAAATACATAAAAACATCAGCTAGGCAAAAGGTGGAAACAACTCAGATGTCCATCTATAGGTGAATGGATAAACAAAACGTAGTATGGCCATATGATGGAGTATTCAGTCATAGCAAGGAATGAAAGCTCTGACACAGGCCACAACATGAATAAACATTGAAAACAATATGTTGCAGCGCCCGGGTGGCTCAGTCGGTTAAGCGTCTGCCTTGGGCTCAGGTCAGGATCAAGAACACGTCCGTCTGACTCCCTGCTCAGCGGGGCGTCAGCTTCTCCCTCTCTCTCTGCCCCTCCCCCGCACGTGCTCTGTCTCTCACTCTCTCTCTCTCTCAAATAAAGTCTTTAAAAAAATTTTTGGGGGGCACCTGGGTGGCTCAATAGTTAAGCGTCTGCCTTCGGCTCAAGTCATGATCCCAAGGTCCTGGGATCGAGCCCCACATCGGGCTTCCTGCTCAGCGGGGAGCCTGCTTCTCCCTCTCCCACTCCCCCTGCTTGTGTTCCTTCTCTCGCTGTGTCTCTCTCTGTCAAATAAATAAATAAAATCTTTAAAAAAAATAAAAAGAAGGGGTGCCTGGGTGGCTCAGATGGTTAAACATCTGCCTTCGGCTCAGGTCATGATCCCAGGGTCCTGGGATTGAGCCCCACATCGAGTTCCTGGCTCAGTGGGGATCCTGCTTCTCCTCCCTCTGCCTCTCTCCCTGCTCATGCTCTCTCTTTCTGTATCTCTGTGTCTCAAATGAATAAATAAAATCTTAAAAATAAGAATAATAAATAAAAAAATAAAAAGAATAAAAATTTTTTTAAAA